TGCAACTAGGGCAATTGAAACGGAATTAAAAACCTAAATCGATTTTTCTTAAACAGCGATTAATTAATTATAGCACAATTAATATTTTAATAAAATAAATTCATAAACATGTGACATATAAACTAATAACTCTACTGTGTAGATCTCGACGACACAAAACTAACGCAAGTGGAACGAACTGAAACGAAGTTAAAATGAATAAACTACGATTATTTAACGACTAATGGCAAACTCATAAATAGTTCATCTTCTACCTTGGTTCATTCACATGCAGTACGTACGTGGTTCTGGCCACCGTGGGATTTCCTGCTGCTGCTAGCGGAAGGGAACCAACGCGGGGCAGGGGGCTCAGCCTCGGCCTACCGACGGCGCAGCAGCGGTGCTGGGCCCACGGTGGCAGTTGCGCTATGCCTGCTGCCCACGGGTCACATGGCCAGCGAGGGCCCCTGCGGCCAAGCCAAGCCCAAGACAGGCCGTGGGTGGCTTCTGCTGTGCAGGGCGTGGAAGGCTGCAGGGCCGGGGACGCAACGCGCACGGCCACGGGGGCACGCGGGTCGACGGTGACGGCGGGTTCGGGCGCCGGAGGACGCTGTGGGATGGCCGGAGACGAAGAAGAGAGGACCGGCCATGGACGAGCTCGCCGGAAAATGAAAACGAAAGAGAAACAACCAAACGGTGATGGATTCAAGAACATAAGGACACTACGGTGAAGAGAACGATGATATCTACCTCTTGGTGGTGGTGGTCGACACCGAAACGCGACGGTTTCGCCGGAAAAGCTCGCCGAAGAGTTCGTCGGAAACCTAGCTGCGGAGAACTTCGGCGTCCGATCTGCGGGTTTACGAGTGGCGGCTTGAAAAACGGGCTGTACTTATGAAATCCTCGCGTCGAGGGCTACGCCGGCATATATATATATACATAGGGTTTGGAAATTTTGGAAAGTGAAGATATTTATTAATTATTGATTTTCGGAATTAAAATAATTACAGAAAATCGGAATTACTATTTAGGCTCCGAAAAATATCTCTGAGCTCCGAAAAATTCCATAAAAATGTCTAAAGATAGATGGAAGGATAAGGAACACAACCAAAGTATTTTTAGCTCCCGAAAAAGACTTTTGGATTGATCGAGGAAAAAGACAAAGCTTCAAGAAATAGGAGTTTAATCTCGAAAAAGGTCGAAAAGTTTCCCGGAAAGAGAGGCATCGTTCTAACGCGTCTTAAAACCTTTTCCAAGCCTTTAGATTTTGAAAACAAAGCATCTTATCTAACTTTTGTTTTTGCAAGTTTTCAATTTCTTTTTAAACCACTACTTGAAAATAATATTTTGAAGATTGAGATTTGAATTTATTTTTCCAAACCACTCATCACAAAAGTACCAATGTAACGGCATCCAAACCACTCATCACAAAAGTACCAATGCAACTGCATGTATGCGCAAACATGTTGCTACCCTTATGTTCGATTTAATTTAAAGAAAGTTTTCTTTTACCTATGTTTTTATGAGTACAAAACCATTAACAGTTTTACTCTTTTTAGAAAGTAGCTAATTTTAGGGTGTTACAAAAAACGTCTGATGTAGCTATGGAGGAGCTCGGACGGTTTCTAATAGATGTGATTCAGATCGTGCTTGGTGCCCGGCTGAGTACACGTAGCCATGTAGTTGTCAGTGAAGAGTTTCTTCAACTGTTCCCAAGATCCGATGGAATCTGAGGTGAGGCTCGTGAGCCAGCTCATCGCGGTTGGCATAAGCATGATAGGAAGATAGTTTGCCATGACATTGGTATCTCCCCTGGTGGTGCACACAGCGGTGGCATAAGCTTGTAGCCACTATGTGGGGTTCATCCACCCCTCGTAGGACTCGACCCCGGTGATCTTGAAACCACGGGGCCACTGGAGTGTTTGGAGTGCTCTTGTGAATGTTCGGGGCCCTTCGGGATTGTCATCGTCATGATCAGCGGCATTGCCGATGTTAAGTAGCTGGAGGGTTGTATCCATGTTACCGAACTCTTGCTCGTATTCTTGACGTCGACATACTTCCTCTTCAAGGCGAGAGAAATGGCACCCGTCAATATGACGTCGCGCATCCTAGAGACTGTTAATGCACGCTCAGACATCTTGGTCATGTTAGCGAGGGTAGTCGATACTGTTCCCCCTAGTTCCCCCTAGAGGGGTCTCCCCTCATCACGATGCTGGTCGGCAAAATGGCTTCTGCCGGGGCGGCGAATGGATCTTGGCACGGCGGATCGGTGATTCGAGCTTGTTGAGTAGGAGGGTCCCTGATCCTGGCAGATGTTGTTGACCTAGCAGTGCGCCACTTTAAGCATTGTGGTGACCTTGGCAACCTCTGGCATTTGCTCAAGCCGAGTGAGCTCACTAGCGGCCACGGCCAAGTTGGATCTTGGGGTCCTATAGACATCGTGGCCGTCGACATGGATGAATTTGTCATCGAGGTTGCAGTGGAGTGGGTGTGGCCTCCCTTGCGAGTCAAGCTGTTCTCCATTGCCAGCAGCCTCGGCTAGCACAATGGCGGCCTCATTAGCTCGGCGCTGCGCTATTGGCGTTCCTGTTGACACGAGTGGCGCGGTCCTTGTCGGTTTCTCCATCCCATGGAGGGCTATCGACGCTAACATTGAAGATCCTGCCTCATTGGAAGGGAGGGAGAGGAGGTTGGACTTCGGGGGTTTCGGTGATAGTCTCCGTAGAGCCCTAGGACTTGGAGTCTGGACTTTCCTCCAAGATGGTGTGGAGGGATGCTTTGGGGCTTCGGCCGATTTGCAGCATATTGACCGTCGGTGAGAGCTGGTCGGTGATTGGGTCGGCGAGAGGATAGATGTCTCCCACCTGGCCGACAAATTTGCCCCTTAGGGCGTCCTGATGGATGGCGGCTGTAACCCCTGGAGTTTCCTGATCAGCCTCCGATGGATCGAAATTGGAGGGTGGTCAGCGCTGAACCAGAGTGGTCAAAGTCGATTTCGCGTTGGAGAGGTAGTCGGCAAGCTTCTAGTCGACCTGATTGATGGATGTGATTAGATCATTGATGTGGGTCTACTTCCTCGAATAGCGGGGGAGCAGGTGGTGATTTGTTGGTGAAGATGACCTCAGAGGCGGTTCCAGGATCGGATCTGCTGCTGTAGGTGTTGGTGTGGTCAGCGCAGAATCGATCTGCACCAGCTCGATGATCTCTCCGTCTCCATTAGCATTGATGACCCAGGTGATCAATCCGACCGTGAAGATCTTGCTAGGCTTTGGGGAGGACGAAGAGCCTGCAAAATGTACCATCTTATTTGTCATAGAAATGGCATGCCAATTGTCGACAGAATATCATCGGCAGTCCTCCAAGGGGTATCCCACTAAGGTTGATTGATCGGCAGAGGTGCGCGTAATCAAGAATAAGAAGGCAACAGAGACACAAGTGTTAGACAGGTTCGGGCTGTCAGCACGACGTAATACCCTACTCTTGTGGTCTATAGGTTTGTATTGGCTATCGTATGATATTGTGTGTGTTTTGAGGGGGTCCCTGCCCACCTTATATAGTCTGGGGGCAGGGTTACAAGTAAGTTAGATCTAGGAGGTAACCGGTAAGTAATAACAGATTACAGGAATCATGGGATCATGCATATCCTAACAGATCTCGTAGCATCTTTAGGATATCGCCCTTGTTGTCTTGCGGTACACGCCGAGCAGTGTCGTGCACTGTAGGTCTTTGTCTTGTGGGCTAGATCGCTCCTAGAGGCGTAGCCCATGTAGTATGTCGTGGGTATCCGGGGTCGTACCCCCCACAGGACGTGTCCGATCAGTTGCTCGACAACAGCAGGCATCAATAGCTGTAACCGGACGCTAAGCGAAGCAGTGACTAGATGCACTAATGACACTATTCTTCGTCATGGCTATGTTTTCAGCATGACCAGACGTAGCGCCACTGGACGATCGGATGCACAAAGTATAGCATCCGATCGAGTCCAGAGAGGTTCCAGAGCGGCGCCAGCATGACCGGACGTGTCCGATCGAGTGAGACCATACTCGGCCTAGAGTCCGATCAACGCGCGCGCTCTATCGGTCGGGGCGACCGGACGCGTCCAGTCAGGACAACAGCAGCGTCCGGTCAGTAGCAGAAAGCTGGGTTTCACCCCCAACAAGACATTTGAGATCTGGAGAGTTGAGGAAACATACCAAGGGTGTTGATACACCATTTTAGGGATCTCCACTTGCATAGTGCTTAGTGATTCATTAGGTGATTAGCGTAGGTGCTTTGCGAAGTGCTTAGGTTGATTAGACAACCGCTTATGCCCTTGCTCTAGGTTTAGGCCTAGTGTTTAGTGAGGTTTGCATACCTCTTACCACTCGGTGCTTGCACACTATTGTTGTACATCAGAGGGGCTTATAGTCTTGCAAGATCACACCAACCGTGTTTGTTGTGTGGCCGCCACTGTGTACCGGAGGGAACAAGGCCCGTAACATTTCGGCCGGAAGCTTGATAGTGAAGACGGCGGGGAGCATCCGGGAGAGGCTTGCCGGAAGGCATGTCGGAGACCCACTTGCATGTGGGGAAGGCCCGAGGCTATCCACAGAGTTACCCGACCGAGAGCTTGGCCCTTGCGAGGGATTCCTTGCGAGGGGCTCCAACGAGGACTAGGGGGAAGCTTGTGTGCTTCTCGATACCTCGGTAAAAATACCGGAGTCATCGACGGGAGTTTGCATATCTCTACCTTACTCTTTAGCTTCTGCATTTACATTGTTTGCATAACTCCTTTTTGCGGTAGAGATAGCAACACACTAGCAAAACTATAGTTTTACATTTAGATAGTTTAACTTTTTGCATAGGTTTTGCTAAGGATAGAAAAAGAGGCCATAGTTTAGAGTTAGAGTTTTAAGTTGCCTAATTCACCCCCCCCCCTCGACGTCATCGGGCAGTCACCATCACCCCCACCATCTACACCATCATCTCCATCCCTGTCACCCTCCGGAGCCCCAGCACCGACCACAACGTCGCTGGCGGCCATGCTGCCCATGCCCCTAGCCCCAGCGATCATAGAAAGGGTTGTTGGGGTCGATGAGAGTGCTCCGCCGGGGTCCCCGGCTGGGCTGTCGACCATGCTGGTGTCATCAGTACCAGAGCTGGTGATCGAACTCTTCGATGAGGATGAGCCAGAAAGCTCGACTCCATCGGTGGGTGGCTCCTCTGCTACCTCGGTCATTTTGACTACCCCCGCCGCCTCCGCCACCCTCGACATCCTTGGCCCCTTTGCCCCTTGTGCTGCTGGCTCACCGGACATGAGCCGTGATGAGGAGATCACGAGGAAGCTCTTTGTCGAGCTGAATCATGAGGCCATCGGCATCCTAGGAGATGGCGGCCTGGTGATCCTCAGCAGCGACAGTGAGGAAGAGGTCACCGAGGAGGAGGAGGCCGACGAGGAGGAGGACGAGCCCACGGGCAGTGGGTCATCGTCGAAGAGCTAGGCTGCTCCCATCTCGTCAGCAAGCCCTCTAAGGAGCTTGGTGACAATCGGAGGTGGTACCTGCTCTACTTGTTTTTAGATTAGGGTTCTAGTTTAATCACATGTAAATCTGATTCGATGAATTATTAAGATACATCATTAGTCTTACATAATTCTTCTTTCTATTGCTATTTGACCTATCATCAAGCGAACAGTTATACTTGTAGTAGCTAAACTCGGGCGGTTTGTGTATTGTGTGTTGAAACCATTTACTTGATTTAGGCTTAGCATGATCGATAATTTTTGTAGACTAGTGAATAGTAGTATGATAGCCCCCGACTCTTTATTTGGATATGAGTAACTTATACGAATAAAGAGTAGCAGACTAGTCGAAGAAATCATTGGAATCAAACAGCCCCAGCCCCAGCCACAGACCCCGAGTGTATATTCTCGGCAAAACTACACTAATAGAGAAATAGAAATAATGTTCTTATTTGGGTAGTATGTGGAGACATAAAATATCAGGAACGCTGTTTATTATGTATAAAAGCATTGTAGCTGATCCATGTTCCATGTATTTGGGAGCATATCCCCGTCTATCTCTGCTACTCGATACGTGCTTGGTCGGGCTATATCAACTACAATGTATGGACCCTGCCAAGGGGTGTCAACTTGGTTTTATCCTTTGCGTTGGTCTCTTTTGAGTACCTGATCGCCGATGCTAAGTGCCCGGCCGCGTACACACTGGCTATGATATTTTCGAAGGGCTTGCTGATATTTCCTACTTGAAATGCAGCTATATCACACTTTTCTTCGAGGAGTTCAAGCTTGGTGTACTGATGATCAGATTGCTCTTCATTGGAGAACATCGCTACTCAGGACGAGTTTAATTGGACTTCGTGGGGAAGGACTACTTCAGCCCCGTACACAAGGAAAAACGGTGTTTCACCCATGGCCCAATTAACTGTAGTGCGCACTGCCCATAAACTTGTAGGGAGCTCTTGAACCCATTTTTTTATCATAGACGCTAAGCATATCAAAAATATGGGTCTTGATTCCCTGCAGAATTATGATATTAGCACGCTCTACTTGACTGTTGGTCCTCGGGTGATAGACTGAGGACCGATAATGCATAATGGCATGTCTTACACAAAAATTCTCAAATTTTTTGCTGATAAATTGTGTACCATTATCTGAGAGTATTTGGTGCGGTACGCCAAAACGCAATACAATGCTCCACAAAAATTTGACTATATTCTCTTTGGTTATCTGGCCTACTGGCTCGGCTTAAACCCACTGTATCGATCGCTCCAATCAGAAATATGTAACCACCCCGGGCTCTTGGAAAAGGACCCAGGATGTCGATGCCCCATGTGGCGAATGGCCAAGACAGAGGGATTGTGTTTAATGCTTGAACAGGTTGGAGAATCTGTTGTTTAAAAAACTGACAAGCTTCACATGTTCTAACCAACTCAATGGCGTCTTCGAGCGCTGTAGGCCAGCAAAACCCTTGTCGAAAGGCTTTCGCAACCAGCGTTCTGTGAGAGGCATGGGACCCATAGATTCCTCCATGGATGTCATGGAGCAAACTAATGCCCTCGGCCTGGGTGATACACTTGAGAAGAACCCCACTTCGCCCTTGTTTAAAGAGCGTATTGTCTAACATTTGATAGCTCATGGCTTTACGGTTGGTTCATTCTATATTCATATCATCGACCCGAGTATCCTGGTTTGTGAGATACACCCAGATTGGATCCATCTAGTTCTCCCCGTTTCCAACTAGAGCGGTAGCATGAGCTGTATCGTCCAGCATAGACTTTCCAAGGAATTCATTGAGTATTGCCTCATTGCTTGACGAATCAAGCATGGGGTTTGGACCCGACTTTGACATCAAGATAGAGGGTTTTGTTAGCACTTCGACTAGGACGTGCTGTCATTCAGCTGCCTAGCTAGCGAGCATCTTAGCATACGAGTTTAGTTTTCTCAGGATGTATTGGACCTCAAGCCTGTCAAATTTAGATTCCAATCATCTGTATGCCAGTAAATATGCGGTCATGTTCTCGTTTGTTGCTCGGTAATCCTTGTTGGTTTGTTTAGCGACTACTTCTGAATCCCATTCACAAGTAGTCGTTTGACACCCAAGGATATGGCAATTCGTAAACTAGTTAACATGCCCTCATACTTGGCAATATTGTTAGTTGGAGTAGGATCAGTAAAATCAATTTGAATTGCGTACCTCATGGCATCCCCTTCCAGAGAGATTAAGACGACACCAGCCCCTGTGTCATTCTTGCATTTTTGCTCCATCATAGAACATTAGCTAGTGCTCAGGGTTTTGAGCCGCCTCCTCGGGTTCGGGATTTGTCCATTCTATAACAAAATCAGCTAGAGCCTGCGATTTGATTGTAGTTCTAGGCACAAATTCTATATGGTATTGGCCTAACTCAACTGACCATTGATCGATTCTACCAACGACATCTCGATTATGAACAATGGTACCGAGTGGGTATGAAGAAACCACTTTGATCTTGTGACTTAAGAAATAATGCTTAAGCTTGCGAGAAGACATCAATACGGCATAGATTAATTTTTGAATGTTTGGGTACTTGGATCGGGCATCATGTAGTACTTTGCTCACAAAATACACGGGGTGTTGTTTTGCTGACTTCTCTTCCTGACGCTCAACCACTAGGACCGCGCTGACAACTGTAGGAGTTGCTGCTACATAAAGGAGCATGGTTTTGCCATCTTTGGGAGGAACAAGTATAGGTAATTGTTTCAAGTATTGCTTGAACGCCTGAAATGCTTCTTCGTCCTATTCACTCCAAAGAAAACTGTCATGCATCTTTAATAATTTATAAAATGGCATACCTCATTTGCCTAACTTGGATATGAATTGACTCAGGGCTACCATCATGCCAGCTAGCTTCTAGACTTCTTTCTTGTTGCGTGGAGACTGCATGTCGCCGATAGTCTTGACCTTCTTCGGGTTAGCTTCGATGCCTTGATGAGACACTAAGTACCCGAGTAGCTTACCTGAGGAAACGCCAAAAGAACATTTACCAGGGTTTAGCATCATCTTGTTCTTACATAAGTTATTAAAAGTTTCTTCCGGATCGACGATCAGATCGCCTTTGAATTTGCTTTTAACAACAATATCATCAATGTATGCTTCCACATTGCGGCCGATTTGGCCCTCTAGAACAATATGAACACATTTTTTATATGTAGAACCAGCATTCTTAAGGCCAAAAGGCATCTTAATATAACAATACACGCCAAAAGGAGCTACAAATGCAGTTTTTTCCTCATCGTCTATGCACATGCTAATTTGGTGATACCCCGAATAGGCAACCAGAAAACATAGCAATTCACATCCGGAGGTTGAATCTACAATTTGATCTATCCTTGGAAGGGGATATTCATCATTAGGGCCTGCTTTATTCAGATCGGTGTAGTCCACACATATCTGCCATGTGCCATTAGGCTTCTTGACCATGACAAGGTTTGCTAGCCACTCCGGGAAGGGGACCTCTTGTATGAAACTAGCCTTCAGAAGTCAGTTGATTTCATCTCATATGGCGGCTCCCTTCTTAGGTGTATAGCGTCTTTGTTTCTATCTGACTGGTCGAGCGCCAGCTGGTAGACCCAATTTGTGCTCGATTACCTCCCTGGGATCTCGGGCATGTCGGATGGTTCCCAAGCGAATACATCTTTATTTGCCTAGAGGAAAGCAATGAGCTCGAGTTCCTATTGAGGAGGAAGGTTGGTCCCAATATGAGTGACCTTATCAGGATTGGTTTCATCGATGTTGATAGGCTTGGTAGTCTAGTCTCTAGTTGTGACTTCCTTTGATTGAGGAGTGTCATCTGGCTTGTTCGTGACTGCCATTTGTTCAGAGTCGACCACATTGATCTTCGGCGTCTAAGACTGTGGGAGTTCCAGAGTCTAGGATTGTGAGATTATTGGGATTGGGACCTCATAAGGCATTGGAGCCTGAGGTTGTGGTAATGACAGTACTTGAGTCTATGGCACGATAGGCGCCTTGAGCCTGGCTTCAGCTGCTTTAGAACTCTCAGCTACTGGGGTTGATGGCTTGACCACAACCGGAGCTGTTACGACGGGCACAGGTAGAGTGGCTACTGGCGTTATCATAACAATCTGGCTTGTGATCTTCTTCTATTTTGGCAATGGCTCAGCCAGATCTGCAAGGACCTGCCTGAACTACTTGATCAGGTCGAGAGTTTTCATGTCGCAGGTGACTGCACCTTTCTGGTCACTGTATATAGTGAGGGGACCGTGGGGCCTGGGTACCTTCAATGCCGAGTAGGCAAAATGGGCGACAGCCATAAATTTCTTCACGCACGGTCGTCCTAGAATGCAGTTGTAGGACGACTCAAAATCGGCTACCTCGAAGGTTAGGATTTCGAACCTTAGGTTCTTGCCTTCTTGTAGGGTAACCTGGAGGTCAATCCTTCCAAGCGGATAAGCTAACATGCCTGGCATTATTCCATAGAAGGGTTCCTTGACTGGAATTAGAGACTTCCTTGGACAATGCGAGGTTGTTGTATGTGTTGGCGAAAAGTAGATTGAGCGCACAGCCATTGTCGATTAAGGTTCGTCCGACCTTGTAATTCCCTATATAGGATTTAATAACCAATGGGAGCAGTGGGCCATCATATAGAATCAGGGGATGATCCCTGATATCGAATAAGATAGGGACTTCTGACTATTTAAGCCTTCTTTTCGATGGCTAGGTACTGCTTACCTACCATTGGACTTGTTTGAGCTTGGTCTTGGAAGCCGGGGTGGCTGTGCCACCATAGATGGTGAGTATCTCGTTCTCGGGCAAGACGATCTCTTCATCCCCTTCTGCCTCATGAACATTCTAATTGTGCCATTGCTGATGGCGGGGTGCCTTAGCCCTGCACTACTACTACTCCTCCTATTTCTGCTTCTTATATACTAAGCACTCCGTGAAGGAGTGCTTGGTAGATTGATGAACGGGGCAGTAAACAGGGA